ATCACCAGGTGTCCCGCCAAGATCGGAAAATCCAAGAGTGCCACATAGAACGAGTTGCGCAACATATCCGACGTCATAAAATCAGCGGCGCCCGTTTTGTTTTCGTAATAAAAGTAGTAGGGTATGTTTGCAAAGGACGATATGGTGTCTAGCACACATAGATCGATAGTCTGCGACCGAACACCACGTAGAAACTGCTCCATTGGCAAAATGTAAGTGTTGCTGTCGAACTTCGGGCAATATATGCAATAATGTGCGTAATATAATGAATATTGTAGAGCAGAGCAGAAGTGGTGTTCCGCGGGGCTATGAATGGTTGGGCCAGTCTTGCTAAATACCAAGCGCTAGCATGGCATGCAAGTTTTACCAATCGGTTTAGCGATTCCATAAATGGTCATTGTATGTCAGGCTGCAATTGTGTCAAGTAATGTGGCGCATTTCATCAGGGGACGGCGCGTGTGAACAAGCCACCGCTATAAACGAGAGGGAAATGGGCACATTGTCTGAGCCCAGCAAAGGTATTACAGGCGATGCAGCAAAGCTTCGGCGTAGCCAGCTAGGCTTCATGGAATGTAAACTAATTGGCAACAAGTAAATAATGTTGAGAATGGACGGTGTTAGGTAAAGAACTGAGGAAAGAGAAAACATCTAGAGTGCGCTCCACATATAGGAGATGCAGAGAGAGAAAATTAAAGCTGAAAAATAGAGAAGTGAGCCACAAAGGAATGGACTCGAAGGAGGGATCTAGAAAAGAAAAGCCAAAAGAAGGCTACCACTGAGCTCAATTAATTGGAAAGATAGTTCGGTATCGGAGATGTAGACGATCTGACTGGAGAGAATTGAGAATTCCAACAAACAACATAGCAAGATAACTAGACCACTTGTATATAATGTTGTGATCTTAATGCTGTGCAGTCAACTAAATGTGTAATTTCATATTGTATTGTTGCAGTTGTCGCTATTTTGTATTAAACTGGGCCTTTTCAAACGCCCGACTCAAATAGCCAACTACACGTTGCCACAATTCCGTAATTCTGCAGTCATCTAATCTCAACTGGTTGCCGTTGAGCAGTGGATAAAACCTGCACTTAATAATATTGCATGTCCTTGTATTGTCAATATAATCCAGAATCTTAGTGAAATGGTTTATGAAATATCAGCATGCAAAAAGGCCCCGCTTGAGCTGGTAACTGTTAATTAGTAGCTGATTCAGGACGGAATGGACGCACAGGGAGGCTCACTAAAGCATAGGTAGATAACAAGTGCTTGTGAACAATGAAACACTACTAAGAACAAGAGGAAGCTATAGTCTTTTATATATCCCCAAGGTGAAGAACGCCCAACCAAAGCTTTGAATTCGGTTGCAAGCAGTGTGCAAATTACATAGGTGTTCACTGTAACATGCGTTCTTATTGGCAATTACGAACGCATGTGCATTGGCATTTATTTCCTTGCATCTGTCGGCAGTGCCGCAACACAGACTTGGCCATGTCTCAATTTAAAGTCACTGCACCACTAGCTGGCTTTGGCACAAAGTAAAAGGCGGCTGAATCGGCACCAGAGTGGAAAGTAGCATGATTCAGAATACCTTACACATTGATTCAGCTCAACATGTGCATGCGATCACCAGCTTGACTATTTTCTTAAAGTAATGCTCAGTAGTAGCTCTGGGGTAAAACAATTTCATGATTGAAGCAGTGTTAGCAATATTGGGCAAAAGTCAAATATCGAGTAGTTCTTGTTTAACTTCATCATACTTGCCATTAAGCGTATCATTCAGCAACAGCAGTATATTGGGGATCAATTTTCAAGCTACTGGGCGATACAAGTGCACTCAGTTTGCTAATTCTACATCACTGGCCAGCGTTGAGGCAAAAAAAGCTTCAACACCGTCGACGTAGCTGACTATTAAAAGCCAACAATCATAAATAATGTGTCGTATCCTAGCATCAATTGAGTATTGAGTTTGTTGATTCAACTTGGAACTCACACCTTGGGCTGAAACGAAACACATATTTTATATAAACGCAGAGGTGTGTTTACGCTGCTTTATTTCCAATTTCTCTGTCTGTATTAAAATATACCGAGAGTTGCGCAGCTTGTGTACTTGGGACTTGCTGTAATCGCATATGATATCTGAACTTTTATCATTGAAAAATATTATTAGTTTTGCCATGCTGAAAAGCAGTCTTGGCAAGCAAACCATGCACAGACGATCCAGGGCTTGCAGACAAAGTTGAAGTGGTTTGAATAGACTTGAGCTTGACCACAAAGGAAAATCAATTGCTATTGTTCACGCCAGAACACTGCTAAAATTAACAAATAACACACCATTGGAAATATAAGGTACTGCGCTCTTTAAGCAAAGCAGCCACGGAAATGTTTATAATTGACATTGTATAAACCAGTGCGTGCTTGACAAGTCCACTACGACGCTCATGTGGCCAATATATAAATATGGCGGAGGGCCACAGACACTGATTGTTGCAGGAAGCTTGGAGTTCTAGCAATTAGCACAGATATTCACATACAAATTTGCTTGGTAATTTTTGACAGCAGTGGCACGGCAATAGTGCTAAAATTTACTAATGTTGGCTGGGCTAGCCAAGAGTGCAAGACACAAATAAGGGCCACTCGGTCATGCACAGTTCTGCAAAAATGGTGTCAAAGGCTACAAAGTGCAGCAAAGAACCACAATTCGGCACAAGAGGCATTTGTAATAAATAATATCATGGTATGCTACAGAATGTAAGTCTTGAATTTAGCTCCGTTAACTCAGTTGGTAGAGTGCCGTGCTTATGAGATAATCATCTTATACATTAGTCACGCGGACGCCGCCAGTTCGATCCTGGCACGGAGCAATTCTTTTTTGCCCTTTGCAAATGCAATTTCCAATGTGGGCTGGGCAGCTGCTGTACATGGATATATTTTTGTGGTGCAGAAGTACACGGCCAGTTCTCTGGCCCGTCTAGCATCGATTAGTCAATACAAATGCAAATGAAACGAGGTGTAGGGTGTTTATGGCAAGTAGCAGCGGGGCCTTAGGGGTGTTCAAGTGCATCGAGAAGAATGTCGTTTTCCAAGCGCAAGCGGCGTGTCTTCGCGTTGACATGGGAGAGCTGTTTTGTTCGAGCGTCAATCTGGTCGCGGATATAAGCCAGCTGGGCATCAAGCATGGCAGGCGTGAGCTCTGGAGCAGTTGGCGCAGAGTCGTCCGGCAGGGAGTGGCGGTCAGCTCTAGGCTTTATGTGGGTGTGCGACGCGTGCGATTGGGTGTGGCGAGCCAAGAAATCCGCGCGCTTGTAGACCTTTCCGCAGTCGTCGACGGGGCACAGGTAGGAGCGGCCGCCAGTGTGGGCCGTCAGATGGAGAATCAGGTCGTGGCGGCTGGAGAATGGGATGTCGTGCTGAGGACAGGACGTCCACATGCAGGCGTGGCGCACGTGGGGGTGGAGGGCAACGTGGACTGTGGACATGTGGGCGGCGAGCAAATGCATGGAGGTGAATTCAGCCGAGCAGTCATTCCAAGCACAGACGGTGCGCGCAGGAGCAGCCGACGAGCCCAGCAGAGGCTCAATATCCGACGAGGCCATTATCCACGAGGGGCGGTTGTTCTGAGACAGAAGCGTGGGCGGAAGCAGAGCAACTCTGTTGTTGTTGACGTTGTTGTTGTTGTAGCGGCTGTTGTTTTCGGTAGCGTTGTTGATCCTGAATAAACAAAAGCAAATAGTGAGCGAGCGTGCGAGTGAGTGAGAAGAGGGGGCTGCTGAGCTGGCGAATGAATTGCGCGGGCAGCAAGGGAGGGGCCAAGCCACGGCGGTGGTTAGAGTTTTGGGATGGGCGGGCGCAGGCGATTGTTTGGGAGGCTGGCGGCTCCCGGGCGGCCGGTGCGGCGGGGCTCTGGGCGAGGCAGCAGGCGAGGCGGGAGATAATTGACTTGGGTAGCTGATTTGTTCCAGGCGCCAGACGGCGCAGCATTGGAGCAGACGGCGCGGCGGCTGGCGGCGGTTGTGGTGGGCGTTTGGGGGAGGCCGCTCTGCTTGACAAGGAGGCTGGGCGAGCAATTAGACCAAATGAGGAATTGGTGGTTATGCTGGCAAGGAGGCACAATCGGGCGGGCGGCGTGCTTTAGCCGAGAGCGTCGCCAGCGCTGGCGGCATGGGCGGCGGGCACAATTGGGCGCGTGTACGAGTGGCTTTGGCCATGAGCGGTGTGGGCCTTGCGCTGCATGGTGTGAGAGGGCGCGGCGGCAGGCGGGGAGGGGCGCATTGTGGTGCGCGATTGTGCGCCTGGGTTTCTTCAACGGCGCCTATTGACGAAGGACTGAGCGGCAGGCCGCAGGGCCGCATCCGCCCAGCACCCAGGGCAGCGGCCTGCCGCGCCGACCGCGGGTTGCTTGTCTGCTTGGAGTCTGCAGCCAAAGCCCTCGCGCCGCCGCGAGCAGCAACGCCTTTTTTAGTCTGGCGTGCATGACGAAGCAGCGGTGCAGCTACGCATCGGGTTATGACAATCCGGGCGCTACGGAGCCCCCAGCCCCTCGTTGTCTGCCGTCGCTGCCTCAATTACCCACCCCCTTGCTGCTGCTCCTTATATAATACCCGCTAACCGCCCGGCCCCTCTCGCTGCGAGCCCCATGCTTTTCCAGTTCCCTTGCTCTATACCCTGTCCCCGAGAACTATGCGTAACACCCAGTAACTCACCCCTCAATCCCCACCCCAAACGACCAGCAACGAACACCCCAGCGACGACTCCGGCAGTGCCTGTTCGTGTGCTATACTTACTGCCTTGTGCCAGCTATTCAGCGCCCGACCTTGGTTGTTCCGGCCCTGCCCTTAGCAAAAGCACCCAGAGTCGGCGCCCATCTCTACCCAGCAACGGCCGCTATTGCCGCCGACCAGCGCACGCCCTTCCAGCCATCAATTCAATCTCACGCACGTCGCCAGCATTATCGCCATCACCAACACTATCACATCGCCAATATTGCCACCTTCACCACTCAAGCAGCTTTATCATTTCCAACATCTCCCACTTACATCATCGCTTTCCGCCCCAGCTCCCGCCTTTCAAGCACAAGCACAGGCCTCCCCCTCACGTCAAAATGGATATCAGGGAGATCACCGACACATCGATGCTCAGCGACAAGCAGCGCACGCACCACTGCTCGTGGCACGACTGCCTCAAGAGCTTCACGCGCAAGTCCGACCTCAAGCGCCACTACCGCATCCACACCAACGAAAAGCCGTACCAGTGCCACTACAGCGAGTGCGGCAAGCGCTTTGTACAAAAGTCGGCGCTGACCGTCCACCTGCGCACGCACTCAGGCGAGAAGCCGCACTGCTGCAAGGAGCCCAACTGCGACAAGCGCTTCAGCGACTCGTCGTCGCTGGCACGCCATCGCCACACGCACAGCGGCAAGCGCACGTACCTGTGCTCCTACGACAGCTGCAACAAGCAGTTCTGCACGAAGAGCGCGCTAAGCAGCCATTACCGGGGCCACATCTCGCCCTTGGTCTGCACGCCGCGCTACAGCAACGACTATTCGGCTTCTTCGACGCCGGCGCCAAGCTGCTCGCCTGCGCTTCCCCACATCAGCCAGCACTTCTACAGCCCTGCCGGAGCTGAGCGCTCTGAAGAGTGTGCTTTCCCGCGGCTGTGCGTCGCCGAGAGCCCCAGCAGCCGCCCCTACCACGTCAACCAGCACTGGAGCGACGATGACCTGGTGTGCGTCCTGCGCGGCTCCTTGCAGTACCCTACGTCGGCGTGCCGCTCGGATAGGTCCGACACAGTGTCTTCCCTGGGGTCGGGCGGCGCCCCCGTCACGCCGTCGCCTCTGCCTAGTCCGGCAATGCTGCCGGCAGCCTCCGACTACCTAGGCGTGCTGTCCAAGGCGGCGTCAGCCCAGCAGCCGCTGCCGACGCCGGCCCACTGCACATCGCTGCCGCGCTTGCCTGGAATCGCCAGCGCGCTGCGCCAGCGCACTCAGGCGCCAGGCGTGCTGGGCTGGTCCCACAGCAGCCTTGTTGTGTCGCCGTCAGCCGCGCGCTTTGCGCCATATTAGCGGCGCTGGCAGCAGAGGGAGGGAGGGTGCAAGGCCTTGTGCGAGTGGCTGGGCCACAACATGCACTGATTTGCACCCTCCTGCTCTGTCCGCCTCTCACGCTCGCTCTATGCCACGCCAACCCTGCCTGCTAGCTACCCCAAATGTTTATATCATATCGTTTCAACCAAAACAAAGACGTGTCTCGTAACAACGCTTTCATGCCAGCAGCACAGCACAGTGCGATCCGCGTCCGCACAGACACGCCGCGCAGCCGGATGTTGGGGACGCAACACCGTGCAGAGCGCAGGCGCGGCTGCACGAGCGCGTCGCCCGATGCGCAACACGAGCTACAATCACTCCTTTACAGCGCGACGCCGCTGTCCTGTTCCGGAGTGGTGGCGCGGATGGTGCGCTGCCCTGCACTACATATCCAATTTGCCGAGTCCCCCAATAAGCTCGCCTAATAACCAGAAACAAATTCATTTGACCTTGTACGGCCAGGTGCAGCATGCACAATAGGCGCTTGCTGGCCCCTTGTCTTTCTGCCTTCCGAATCAGAGTTGACGATCGCTGCATATATTGCCTGCCAATATATGTATACCTTATTTGGCGGTTATCCAAAACGCCCCCTGCCGCCACTCAATGGAGAAGGGGCCGTGCCAGCTGCAGTTCAGTGCGCCGCAGGGCTCCGGGCAGGGGATAGAGTCGAGCTGCCACGCACGAGTTGCGGCTTGGGCGAGTCCCTGAGCTACGACCAGGGGCCTAAATCCTTGATCAATGGCGGATCTACAGTCTCTCCAGGGCGCTCTGGCCTAATATCCTGCCCCTGTTGCGTCAGTGCACGACAAGCCCATTGGCTCCAGACGTCTCTCAACAGCTGTCAATAGACTGTTGCCGTGCACACGACGCCTTGTCAGGTGCCGCGGCGCATTGAAAGCTGGCGCGGAGCTCCACTCGCTCTTATCTACGTTAAAGACCTTGTTGACAAGTCAGGGGTATATTCA